GGAACAGCCACACCGAGCGCTGACCGCCGCGAAGCTCCGCCAAGCAGCTGCAGCCCTGCAGCGTCCCGGGGGCGGGGGGCGGCTGAGGCACCCACCTGAAGGGATGCCGAAGGGTTAGCGAGGGACCGTCGTGAAGCCAGCTGCAGCTGGAGTGTGGTAACAGCCCTGAGGAAGCACGACATCCCTCAGGAGGGTCCGGCTTCAAGGGCTAACGTTGCGGTTTAGGTTAGACTGACTAACTATGGGAGGTAAAAAACCAAACCCGCACCTGTAGATAAGAAACTAACAGTGTGGGGAACGTGCATCGTTAGAGAAAAAGAAGAGAGTCGTGGCAAGTTGCCTATCTTTGTTGCCGGCCTTGGAAGGCATGTAGGGGACAAAACATCTAGCATTTTGTCGATATATGGGGATAGCCAGGGATGGAAACCATGAGATACGGCGGTGAAGGGGATGTTTCAAGGATAGGGAGCTGGCAGGTACCGGCTGTGGTGTTCTGGCAGCAGAACAAGGGGGGTAAAAGCCGAAGTTCACCAAAAGGACAAGGTGAAGAAGATGAGTTGTCCTGGTTTCGGCTGAGATAGAGTTAATTTTCTTCACAGTAGCTAGCATAGTGCTGTGTTTTGGATTTAGTACCAGAAGAATGTTGATAACACGCTGATGTTTTCAGCTGTTGCCAAGTAGTGCTCAGACTACTCAAGGACTTTTTGAGCTTCTCCTGCTTGCCCAGGTACACAGCAAGCTGGGAGTACAGCACAGCCAGGACAGCTAACCCAAACTGACCAAAGGGCTATTCCATACCATAGAACGTCATGCTTGGGGGGGGGGGGGTTAGTTAATTCGGTCGGTCGGTTGCGGGCAGAGTGATCGCGGCTCGGGGGGAGTGATCGCTGCTCGGGACGGGCTGGGCATCGGTCAGCGGGTGGTGAGCAATTGCATTGTGCATCACTTGTTTTATATATATTCTGTATATTCTCTTACCATTATTATTATCACTATTGTTATTCTTCTCTCTTATTAAACTGTCTCTATCTCAACCCACAGGTCTTACTTTTTTTCCTTTCCTACGATTCTCTCCCCCGTCCACTGAGGGAGGGGCGGGAGTGAGCGAGCGGCTGCGTGACTGAGGGAGAGGCGAGAGTGAGCGAGCAGCTGCGTGGTGCTTAGTTGCCAGCCAGGTTAAACCATGACATGAGTGGATGAAGTAAACGACTCCTGAAGACCACTGACTCAAATCACTGAGCATGTGCAACTGGGAGGAGAATATGCAAATTATTTCCAGGAAATAATTTACCTATCCCTGCCTTTTCTGAGGAATGTAATGAATATGTATGTGAAATTAGTATATAAACTATGTAATTAACCCTGTGCGGTGCACACGTTAGGAGGAGCGATCCCCTGTGTGCCTGGCGCCGCAATAAAGAATACCTGCTTAAGAGTCGCCAAGACTCTTGGGTTCTGATTTCAGTTTTTCACGGCCTCACAAGGATGGTGCTGGGTGATGCCCGAGGGTTTCAAAGATGTGTGAGGGGGGTAGGATGCTGGCCTCACCTTGGCTCTGCAGGGGTATCACAGGCAGCCCCGAGCTTCCGAGAAGCAAAGTCCTCATTTCCAGGGCTGGGCTGTCCCCCTGGTCCCCACCATGAGCTGGGGTGTCCCTTAGTTCGTTCGCGCCTGAACAAGGCCAAGTAACATCCCACCACCTCCTTACGTCGTGGTGCATGATGCGAGGTAACACACATTAACAATTTTACACGCTTCCATACTACAAAGACTGCTTGATACGGTAGCGAGGGAAGGGAATTTCCCTAAGAGTGTACAGCAGCAAGCGCCCAGCTTTGCATGCTGAATTGTTCCGTGTGAGGTTTTGCTGCAGCTCCAGCAGCTCCGTCCTACCCCTTCCCGGGCACCTTCCCCCTCGCCCCCCTGGCTGGCCGGCCTCAGCCCAGCCTGGTGCTCCCCTGCCGGTGACAGGGGCCAGAAGGAGCCCCTGCAGAAGCACCACGGTTATGGATGCTGATCGAGCTTTTCTCGCTCACCACGTGAGGATGATGTGCAGTGATGTAAAGTCCTTGGAGGTTCCAATATGCGTCAGTGGCCTGTGGTCCACCTTGCTGCATCTCCTGCTCTTTGCCTCATCCCTGGGTTCAGCTGCAGCTTGGTGTGGAGGGTCCAGGACCCCTCTGCTGCCTGCTGGGGCTGGCTCTCCCTGCCCCTTCAACCAGGGCACCTCCAAATGGCAGGAGACATGCCAGGGGGAGGAAGAAGGCCACAGGAGGATGAAGACATGTGTCCCCCTCTGCGGCGAGCTGGAGGGGGAGAGGCGGAGGGGAGAGAGGGGGGATTTCATGTAAGCTGTGATATCACATGGCTGCCGTGGCTTTTTTGATCTTGACAAAGGCAGACGGTTCCGCTTGTTGCCAGCATGAGACAAATTACAGGTGAAGCAGAAGAGATTACAGGATATTTCTGGTGGTTGTTGAGTTCAGTGGGGGGAAGGGAGGATGAATCCAGGGCAGACGTCTCCTAAAGATGGGAGGCAGGCAGATGCGATAAATAACAAGAGCCAGCTCCTGGGTGGGGAGGGCATAGAGAGCAATTTGGACAACGCTGCTTTTGGGCTGCTGAGGGTGTGGAAACGTGCTACAAGCTGCAGCACCCACCTAAAAGGTGTTTCTCCTCTCTCATCCCCCTACTACTCCCCGTTGCCTGCTCTCTGGCCCTGGGTGGCTTCAGTGTCCAGTGGGGGACACACTTGCTGTCCCCTCTGTCGCTGCAGGCTTCTGGTGACACCGGTGCCTGTTGAGGTTCAGCACATCCAGATGAACTATCACCAATCCTGCTGTTATTTTTCCTTGTCCCCAGCAGGTTTCTTGGCCATCGATTGGGCAGACTTCCCTCCACAGGGCTGACCCCCACCTTCCTGTGGAGACACAGAGATTCGCCCTGCTCCTTCCTCTGTGTGCCTCACCTGCACCGTGCCCTTTCGCCAGGGGGACGCCTCCCCCTTAGCCCCTTACTAAGGAAGGACCCTTGGGTGCATGTCCCACCTGAGAGTGACTCAGAGGGGCACAGTGCTAGTGCTGATGGTCCCTGCCTGAAAGTCCAGGCTTTGGCACAGCCAATTTCCTCCTGGGATGCAAAGCTGTTGCCCGACAGCTGGCACGGTGAGCTGCGCCGGGCAGATTCACTTTGCTTTCCTTCCTCTTCAAAACACAGGCAGGGATGCTCTGCGGGGAGATGCAAAGCCTGCAGAGCAAGCTCAGCTCGGGGGGGAACCAGGGGGGAGAGTGGGAGTCATCATCCAGTACCCTCATTGGCTATTTACTCACAGGCTAAGGGGTGTAAAACAGATCTTATGTCAAAGGGTAGCATTTAAAAACTGTTTTTCATGGTAGAGGATGGCATAAGGAGGTGGAGACTCAGGCTGGCAATGTGCCTGCAGCTCTTGTCTAGATCCGCAGCTCGGCAGGGAGAGGAGGGGAGAGGGATGAGACGCGGTTGATGTTGGAGGCTGGGGTGTATTTTACATATCACTGTGTGACTATGTCAGGCTGTTTCACCTCTCCCCGACCCATTTCCAGTTTGCAAAGCGGGAATAATGGGACGATCTCTGCTTCTGAGCGGTGCAGGAGAGCTGAAGCAGGGGTGTCAGGGCACCGGTCCCCAGCACAGGCAGAAGGGGCAAGAGCAGGGCATGATACGGAAGGGGAGAGCTCCTGATTTTACTCTGTGCACCATTGTACATTGCTCTGGTAGCACAAACCATTCTAAAAATGAGTAGAAGTGTAATGTAGCCCCTGTGAAGGTGCTCTGGTGCTGCCAGTGAAGGCAATTAGCACCAGTGAGACTTGGCCTGGCCATCACCAGTGCTCACTGGGTGCTCCTGCAGCAGGACAGCACCATCCGCTACAAAAAATATTGTACAACACACATTGTCCTTGGATATCGTTGGCCAATTTGCTGTGTGCTTCATCCAGCAGGTTGGTGACTGAATCTCGGGATATTTTCTCTCTGATTTTTCTTGGTTCTCCCCAAGCAGCCAGAGGGGTGATGGAGACAGGGTTTGGAGATGGTCTTGGGAGCAGTGCTGACCCCAGCATGGTCCCAGTTGTCTCAGCACCAGCTCCCAGACCTCCTGGCCATGGTGGCTTCATCCCAGCTCTGTCCAGCATGAGTTTTGTGAGATGTCGCCTGGCCGTGTGCCGCTGGCTCTGGGCTGACCTCTTGCAGTGCTGCCCGGGAAATGCACAGAATGCAAACTCGTGTGTATTAGATTGTGCTTGTTCTTTCTCTAACAGACAAAAAATGATATCATTTGCAGCAAGTGCAAATTATTAGGCAAACTAATGACATTTCCACATATGTTGCTGGCAATTTCAGCTTCCTTTGGCAAAGACTCCCTCCAGCTATTGTTAGACCTAAGGTAAGTCAGCTTT